TAACGCCTGCGTTTGAACTGCGTTTCTTTCCTATTATATACTCGCTACTGTCTGCAATGAAAAAACGCGCGAATCTTTTTTTTTTCAAAACATTTATTAAAAAATTTTACTTTCCTTAGCAAATTAAAAGTAATTGTTTCTAATGCTAAATAAAATGTAAAAAAATCGAAATTTTTTACATTTTTTTTAGCGCATTTTTTCCCCGCATTTTTTGTTTAGAAAACCTCTCCTTATTATAATTAGTAGACAAGCTTAGTATAATTAGTAACCATCGTACGGAAAATAATTTGGAAGGTATTTTCAACATTTGAAAGCAGTCAATTGACTGCAGTTGAAAACTGCACAATACTTTTAGAACAATAAAAAAAGTTATTGAAAACAATTTAAAATCTGCTTTCAAATGTTGAAAATACCTTCCAAATTATTTTCCGTATGATGGTTACTAATTATACTAAGGAGCTTATATATTAATCATAATAAGGAGGGGTTTTCTAAACAAAAAATGCGGGAAAAAAATGCGCACAATGCCTTACAAGAATAATATAGTAGTTATGCTTAATGTTTAGAATTTTCTGTAAATTTTAACAATTATTATTTTATTTTAAACCCTTATCTGTTTATTTATACTTTTTATACACCCAAATTAAAGGTAAGAGAACAAAGTATATGGAAATAATAGTTTATATAATTAGTAAAAGGTCTAATTTAGATTCTTTTTGGAGTACTTTCCTAAATAAAGTTTGTGAATATCATTCTTTGTCCCCTAATATTCCAGAATTTGTTTAAAATTGCTGCTTTGTTGTCTTCTATGTCAATGTTACTTCGTTTTATAATGAACTTTTTTTTCCTCTATTAAACACGTAACAAAGTTAACTTTAGTCGGTTTCAAACGTTTATTACGTCATTGATAAAGTGATATTTTTAGTAATATTAAATACTTGAGTCAAAATCTGTAAATAATGCGTTCGTTTACATTTGCTGTTTGTAGTTTAGCTAGGGCCAAAAATTTAAATAAAGACAGAAATTGTGTCTCTATTATCTAGCGGTTATATTAAATAAATAAGTTTTAGTTTTCATGTTTTCAAAATACGCATTTTTATTTTCTCAATAAATTGGGCTAATTAAATTAATCTACGCTCCTTATCTAAAAAGCTTACAAATTAAAATCGCTTAGCGTTTCATTTATTTTTTATAGAGTTCATAAAAGTAATATGTTTAATTTTACCATAAAAGAGTTTTGATGTTTTTACATGAAGTAGGGTAGACCGGGGCGATTTCGTCATTTTTGCTGCTTTAATGTTGTCCGTTTAATCTGATAGGCTTTTTCCGTATACCATTAACTGAATAATATTGAATAAACTATATTAAGTTCAACCGCGTTAAAAAGTATAAAAATAATAAGTTATTTATACTCATGAACACCGATTTGTTTTACACACTTACATGGAAAGATTTCGCCTTTTATGGGGTAATTTTGCCAATGTAAAAAGAGTTAAAGCTTTATTATATTTTGTCGAATTCTGTGCACATGTCGATATAAAAGCAGACTTCACATGCCAACCCAGACAGCAAGCTTACATTGGCCCAATGCATGATGATGCATTGGCCCAACGTTGAAAGTCGATGTTGGCCCAATGCAGGTTTGATCATTGGTTAGGTATTGGCCCAATGTTGCGTACAACATTGGCCCAATGTTGTATACAACGTTTACCCAACATTGGCCCAACGTTGTGTATAACGTTAGGCCAATGTTGTATACAACATTGGCCTAACGTTGTATACAACATTGGCCCAACGTTGTATACAACATTGACCCAACGTTGTATACAACATTGACCCAACGTTGTATACAACATTGGCCTAACGTTGTATACAACATTGGCCCAATATCGTATGTTATATATCGGCCTAACGTTTTATGCAACATTAGATCGTTGTTACAAATAAGATGATTTGCATCGCTACATTGAAAATTTATAGAGAAAAAAAAGAATGTATGATACAAGTATAAAAATTTATTTATTTAACATAATTTATCGGTTAAATATACATATTGCAAACACCAAACTTAAACCAAAAACTGACACATTGAGTTTTGAATAAAAAAATTCACTATAAAATTTATAGAGTAGTTTTGATATTGGCTGAGCTACTTGTTATTGAATAGTGTTTAGCTTATGATATTTGGTGCCCACGATTATTATTTTTTCTTCCTCTATCTCTATTACATGTCTGCATAAGCCATGCTTATTTGACTTCACAGTTTCTGCAAAAAAAAATAGTTGTTTGTTTAATTATGCACCAAAGAAACATAACAAATTGAAAGTAATTCTGTAATGCAAAATTGAAACTGAAAAAATAAACTTTTCTAAACCACTTACCAATAGCAGCATATGCAATCAACATTTTTTCTATTCCAATTTTTGTCCTCTCCCTGCATAGTTTAATTTTACAACTAGACCATTTTAAAAAACTATTCTTAGCAAATAAAATATACAATCTCCTTTGTCTTTAACTCCGATTTGTGCCAAATAATTGACCTGCAAAAATACACAACCTGGCAATAATTAAAGTAACTTTTGTTTAGACTTAAATTAATATAAAATGTAATTTACAAAAAATCTTCAAAGAGTATTTTATTTAAAGTATATAAATTGTACTAAGATATCATACAAAATGCATAAAAAAATTATAAAAAAATATTTACCATTTACTTACGTATTTTCTTTTCTTCCAGAGTAATTGAATTCTTCACTGCTTTTAATAGCAATGACACTCTTTCAGGCAATACAATAATTAGTATACCTTTGTTACTCAAATTTTTATAACTGAATTTGACGTGTTTTGTAGTTTACCAAGTTGTACTTCAATGACGACTAAGAATGAACACTAAGGAAAACATAAGTTTCAGAAAAAATAAATGGGTAGCACCAAAAAAAACATAATAGCCTAATTGAGCATTGTATTTTGAAAATGTGACAAGTCACAAAATTAAAATTTTACAAGGGAGTGAAAAATATTTCTCCTGTAAAAAATTTTATTTTTATTTTATCTAAAAATTGTTTCTTTTCTCTAAAAAAATCTTTACTTTATCTAAAATAATCTTTATTTTATCTAAAAAAATCTTTATTTTATCTAAAAAAAATCTTTATTTTATTTTAATATTCTTTTATTTTAAGTAAGGTTATTTGAAAAGAATATTTTTTTGAAAATATTCTTTTCAAATAACCTGTTATTAAATTTTTCAAATAACCTATAATTAAGCTATTATGTTTTATCTATAAAAATATTGTACTACCTTCGTCTATTAAATAAATTTAAATAAACGTTTATATAATGAACAATAATGAATCACCAGCAACTGTTAAAACTTTAAACTGATATGAATACTGATATAAATACAAATACTGTTGTTTTTTTCAACATTTGATTTCAAATGGTTTTCAAAGTTGGTGACACCAACTTTGAAATCCAACAAAAAATTTTTGTTACGTTCATAAACTTAAATGTACTCAAAACAACTAAAAAATCTGTCCACTTTTTCGCAACAAAATATATTTTCTGTGGTCAGTATTCGAGAGCGATCGTTCCGGCTTCTTGACCAAGCCTGTGGTGTAAGCTTTGATATTTTGATTATTACATACTAAAATGTTAATTAACACTCTGACTTTTTGTAAAAGCTAAAGCTATGAATAAAGATTTTCAATCATTAGACACTTACCATTTCATAAATTTGTTCATTCAACTTCTCAGAGCAAACATTAAACTTCTGTAAAGATTTTGGAGTTAATCCCAAAGTTTAATAATATTTTTTGTTTTATTATAAGAAAATGAGGATAAATTATCTACACCAAGATATACACAATTTTTTGTCTCTTCAATCTTTATTTTAACTGGTCATTTTCGCTGTTTTCCTTTTTTGTCTCCAGAGCAGTAGTTTAGTCTTATGCTAAATTCAATCTTGTATTGCTTTAAAAATCTATAAATCAAATCATTAATAATTAATTTATAACTAAAGTTAATATATAAGCTTAAAATTGTTAACTGTTGTACCCAAACTAAATATGAAAAATATCCAGAGATATTAAATTAAAAAATAATTAAACCAAGAATAATGTCCCTTTGCCTCGGAAAGATGGAATATTAGAAAGCTCTACATAAGTAGAATATAAGTTCTAGTAACATCACTTTTTGTACACTGTTTTAATATGTTAGTAGATGGGGGTTCATAATCAAACACAGAAAAAATCAAACAAAAGAGACATATTTAAAATGCAAAATATCAGCTTCTGACAACTTCAATGCCACATATATTATTGATACCTTTAATAATATATCTTATAATAGCTATATAATCTAAATTATTATAAATAATGAAAAAAAAAAAAAATTATACTGTATGACATTTTAAATGTTTGATTTATTTAATAAAGAAGACATTTAAAATGTCTTCTTTATTAAACAAATCGAATATTTGAAATGTTTCATTTATTTATAAATAATAATAATAAATTTTATAAAATAATAATAAAATTTAATAAATTAAATTTAATAAAGATTATTAAATAAAACAAACATTTGAAATGCCAATACAGCAAAAAAAAAATAAAAAAATAACTTTAAGATCTTACACAAAAATAATTTGATTATTGCCTTTATTATTACATTAATAATTTAGATAGTAGTAAAAAATGTTTTAAGTAGGTACGCGCACTGAAATTTTTAAATCATATAGTAGAATGTTATATACCATTAGAAAGGCCTTTAATACAGTATTTTAAAGGTGAAAAAATTATTAAAAACGAACAATTCTAAAAAAAGTTATAACGTTTTTAGTACCAAATTTAAGATATATGGAATAGTTGAAGAAACTGTGGTCAAAATAATTATTTTTTTCACTTAAATTGTTATAACTTTGTCAATTTTTATCCAAATACCTATATCTTGGTATCAAAAGATAGGTGCACTAATGAGCTACAAGTTCATATAGGTGCCTGGACGTAGGGTGTATCTTGGGAGCCAGAGGGGGTAATGAAACACCATCTAACCCTTAAGAAAATACAAGTTTTTGTCAAAAATAAGCACTTTTTTAATGTAATTATTAGATTTTATACATAAAATATTGCCATAACTTGATTCCAGAACACTGCCAAACAAAATAAGGTGATCTTAGAGTTGGCCGTAGATGTGGTTATGATGTTATAACACCCTAATACAATAATCATACATTCTAATAAATAATTTAATCTTTATTACAGTAATTAAATATTTTGTTAAAAAGTAAAAATATATTTTTTTACTATACAAGATACATTAGTGATGTACACACTAACTTTAGGGAAGGGCGTATGTCGCACCGCCCCCCCCCCCCGCCCCAACGCATAACAAAAAATAAAAATAATTAAATCTTTATTACAATAACTAAATGTTAACAAGTAAAAATAATATTTTATTACTATTCAACATATATTATTGATGTACACATTGACTTTAAATAAAGGAAGTCTAATGCACCACCTCTCCCCCCCTCACCTGACAAAAAATAACGTCATCTTTATTTCAATAATCAAATGTACTGTTAAAAAGAAAAAATAATCTTTTATAACTATACAACATACATTAGTATTGAAAATTGTTGTATTACATGAAGCAATATTTTTTTTCTATAGAACATACATTAGTGATGTACAATTTGAGGAGAGGGATGGTTTTCCCCCTTCCCCTCAACCAACGTAAAAAAGAAAACACATAGAAATGATATTTTCAACATTTTCGCATGCAATTATTAAAAAAAGAAAGCACAATACAGAATTGTTTTACCAGATTGCACGAGTATACATTTGCACGATTATTCATTTTCTCGAGTTTAGATGTATTCAGTAGCACGAGTATACATTTTCTAATTTAAATGATCATATTTAACCAACCAACCTTATAAAGAACAAACAAAAAAATAAACAAATGTTTCGAAACATAGTAATTAATTTATGTCTTGGCTTTTAGTAAATGATTTAAATTAAGTTCCAATGCAACTAAATAAATCATTTTTAACAATAAACGCCATGTGAAGGTAAGCCAGAGCCGTCTATCTTTTTTTTTTGCAAGCCACAAAACTTGCTATACCTATTTGCAAGCCACAAAACTTGCGGTACTTATTTGCAAGCCACAAAACTTGTGGTACACATTTGCAAGCCACAAAACTTGCTGTACCTATTTGCAAGCCACAAAACTTGCTGTATCTATTTGCAAGCCACAAAACTTGCGGTACTTATTTGCAAGCCATAAAACTTGCGGTACTTATTTGCAAGCCACAAAACTTGCTGTACCTATTTGCAAGCTACAAAACTTGCTGTACCTATTTGCAAGCCATAAAACTTGTGGTACACATTTGCAAGCCACAAAACTTGCTGTATCTATTTGCAAGCCACAAAACTTGCTGTACCTATTTACAAGCCACAAAACTTGACTTAATTATTATACTAACTATTTTAAAATAAAATTACAAAGTTGTAAAAAAAAATCAATATTGCAAATAACAAGAAATGCATATACATATTAAATGTAATAGTTTATTAAATTACTAGTTGCAGCAGATGACTAAGGAACTAAAGTTTAACATATTATAAAGTTTGCACATTAAAAACTAATAGTTGTTTAACTTACCAGGTGTAGCACAAGAGGTAGATACTAAAATTACAAAGTTGTAACAAAAAATTAATATTGCAAATAACGAGAAATGCATACACATATTAAATTTATTATTTTTTTAAATTACTAGTTGCAGCAGCTGACTAAGGAACTAAAGTTAAACATATTGTAAAGTTTGCAAATTAAAAATTAAGAAATATGTAACTTACCAGGTGTAGTACAAGAGGTAGATACTAAAATTAAAAAATTAATATTGCAGCAGATGGGAAATCCATACACGACAAGTAATAAATAAATAAGTAAGAAATGCATATTTATTTATATTTCTTTAATGGTTAATTAAAGTTATGCTATAATAACTTACTAGCTGTAGTCTGTGCAAATTGGCCTAAAGATAACAAAAAAGTTATACAATCAAAAAAAAAAAAAAAACATCTTGAAATTGTCAACAGTCAATAAAAATAACAGTTATCAAATCAGTTCTGCTTTACGTACAACAACCTATGTAACTAAAAAAAAAGCAATAAAAAAAATAATAAAAAACATAAATTATATTACTGTATTTTAAAATTATATTACTGTATATTAGAAAAACACTAACAAGATACTTTTATAAGAATAAACATATTATTGTAAAAGTATCTTTATAATTTTACAAAAATAAGCTTATTAATAATAAGCTTATTCATATAAAAATATCAATAATAATATTTTAAAATATCAATAATAATATTGTTCTTAAAATATCAATAAAATCATAATATTATTCTAAAAAAATAATAATGTTATTCTAAAATTATCATTAATAATATTATTCTAAAAATATTTTGTCAAAAACTGTATTGGCTTAAGCCAATAAAGTTTTACTTTAAAGTATAATAATGTCATTTGTATATTTTTATATATATGGTGTATTAACAACATTGGCATCTGATACTATTAGTTAATAAAATATTCCAAAGTAACGGTTTAATCTTAAATCCTAATCTTTTTTAATATATACTATCATTGGTATAACTTATACCAAAGATTAAGGTTTTTAAACTTATACTATAAGTTTAAAAACCTTAATCATTGTTTACATATCATGATGATATGTAAACAAAGATTAATGTTTTAAAACTTATAACTTTTTTAAAAAACAAAACAATAATGATAAGTTTAAAAACCTTAATCTTTGTTTACATCATGATGATGTAAACAAACTTTGTTATTATCATGAAAAACAAATTAACTTACTTTTTGAAGTCTTCTTTGTTATGACTTTAACCATTTTTTATTTATTAAAATAATCTAATATCAAAAATTAAATAATACAATGTAGTAAGAATTTTTTTGTTTACCATTCGCCACCCCCTATCCTCCCCGTATTTCTCTTACCGATAAAACAAAAACAAAAAAAACCGAATTTAGGTACCAAAAGTCCTACACTTCTTATACTATCTGCTCCCTAATATTTTAGGCTGAAATTTGGCATGTAAAAAGAAAATGCATGCAAAAAAGTTCTTGAATAACAAAAAAAGCGGAAACTTCATTCCTTCGATAAGAACTTAATGTGAGAACATCAACGAAATTTTCATGAAAGTTTTTAGCAAAACTAACCATAAAAAAGTTTAGTGGTTATAAAAAAAAGTACTATAAAAATCAAGCCTAACCTTTCTTCTTTTAAAATATACTTTTTGTTTATATATGTTTCTAAAAATAAACACCACTAAAAACGTTTGTCTAACCCTACTTCAAAAAAGCAGTATATTTAAAAAAGCACCTCGTTACATATCTGCTCCCTAATATTTTTCGTTGAAATTTGGCACATAAATAGAAAATACATGTATAAAGGTGGCTGAACAATCAAAAAAGCGGAAACTTCATGCCTTCGACTACAAATTTATGTGAAAACATCAACTAAATATTCAGGAGCAAAATAATCCGTTAAAAAGTTTAGTAACCATACATAAAAGTTTAAAAAAAATAAAGAGGCGCTACTCGACTTTCTCCCCCCCCCCCCCTGTTTTTATGATTGATTTTTATAGAGTATATTATACTGATTCTAAATCATATAAAAACATAGGTCTGAAAACTTGAGGAAAGTACTCTAAACTGATGTTAAAGTATAAAAATCCACATTAAAAAACGCTAATATTTCACCATCTTTTTAAAAACATTTTAACACTGTTTTTAAAATTTAGGTGATTAATTTTTTAACTAACGACCCGGTTTTTATTGTTGTTTTTATATTTTATGATGTACATACATCAACTGACATATAGGAATAGGCGCAACTAAATGTACATGCATCGACTGACAAATAGGAATTGGCGCAACTAAATGTACATGTATCGACTGACAAATAGGAATTGGCGCGATTAAATATACATACATCGACTGACAAATAGGAATTGGCGTAAATAAATGTACATATCTACTGACAAATAGGAATTGGCGCAATTAAATGTACATGATTTTGGTCAGGGTTTGGTTGGGGCAGGAAATCAATAAAAAATGCGTTTTAAATTGAAGCGTCGATAGAAACCAGGGTTTTTCAAAGTTTTTATTGAAAAGGAATTTTATAATAACCGAGTATGACAAAGATGGCTAATATTAGCGTTTTTAATGTGGATTTTTATACTTTAACATCAAATTAGAGTACTTTCCTCAAGTTTTCAGACCTATGTTTTTATATGATTTAGAATCAGTATAATATACTCTATAAAAATCAATCATAAAAACAGGGGGGGGAGAAAGTCGAGTAGCGCCAAATAAAGATCAGCTTCTCTTCTTTCCAAAAAGTATCTATGTGTATATATGTTTCTAAAAAGAAACTCCACAAAACTACGTCTACCCCACGCTGCCTAAAAAAAAGTGAAAAAAACGAGTCACAAGATTTTATCACAAAAATCGGTTCCGTAAATGACGTAAATGCGCGTACCTATTTTAAGCATATTATTTAAATGTTAACAAATATTTCATTTTAAAAAACCAAACATTAAGTCACGAGAATCTCTTGAAGTTTACTTCTTATAAGGAACCTTTTAAGATTCTTAGAAGATTAATAAATATACCTTCTGTTTTTTATTTTTATAATTTAAATAAATGGAAAGATATATAATAGTATCAAAACCTTTTTTTATTCTGTCAAACGATACAATTTTCAAAAATGTTTCGCAACAAATTTAAAAGAATATACTAATCCGCAACTACATTGGTCGAATATTGGCTACGGTATATGTAAAAACAGATTTTTATGGCAAAATATTAAGCCTAAACTACATTGGCCAAATATTGGCCCAACGTAGTACGATAATTGCAAAAAACCGATTTGTAGAATTGCAATATTACGCCGAAAAAAAAAACATTGGCTAAATGTTGGCCCAATATAGTACGATAATTGCAAAAAAAAGATTTGCAGAATTGAAAAAAATACGCCGAAAAAAAACATTGGCTAAATGTTGGCCCAACGGAATAAACTTGCCAATGTTAAAACTTACATTGGGCCAATGTAAGCTTGCTGTCTGGGAATATATGACAAAAAACGCATTGGAGCCAGTCTTCTGATGAATTCACCCATGCCACACCGCACACACAACAGTGAGTTGTTTTTTGCTGTTTCTGCTATAAGCTTTTAATGTAATCGATAGCTTTTGATTTAATAATGATTTTAAACTATGGAATTCCATCTATAGAGCCATATGTTTTTATTTGATTGAGAAAATAATTCCTTTTCTTTCTTGAGCCACTTTTTTTGTTTGAAGTTACTTAGATTGGAAAACACATCCAGAGATTTTCTATTTTTTATACAAGTGAGTAATCTATTTATGCTATGCAGGCTGTTTTACCTTCCACAGAGCTTGTTTGTCAATGTCCATTTATCTTATCGTTCAGCGTTAATCTCGGTACTCCAAATGTTTTTGCTGCCGTTAATATTTTACCGCCATCATTAACAGCTTGAATAACCAGTTAGATATTGGTATCACTATAAGATTTCTTTTTCTTTTGGGAGATACTTGTGTACCATCTGAAACATAGGTAATATTCAGCGAGTTTTAGATTTTGGCGCTTAGGGTAAAAGTGATAATTATTTCAGATAGGCCTAATAACTACTTTTTTAAATATCAATGGTTACATTTTATAATGGTGTATTTTAAATATGCTTATCGATATAGTGGCTATAAACAACCATTTTATAACTTTTAAGTTAAATTATAAAGTACTCTAGTTTTAAATACCTAAAAATTATTGGTTTATTATAAGTTCAAAATAATGAATAATAATAAAAATGATTCTAACTTTCAACTTGATAGTTTTAAGGTTAGTTCTAGGAAAAAATCCCCCCGGAAAAACTCCCCCCGAAATATTCCCCCGAGAAAAAATCCCCCCGAGAAAAAATCCCCCCAAGAAAAAATCTCCCCGGAAAATATCCGCCTATAGAAATTTTTTTTTTTACTTAAAAATTATCAATATGTAGTTATGTTTATGTTTATTATTTATTTTAAATATTTATATAAAATACTTCATTTTTCATCAAAATATCAAGTTATCCGCTATTCCACGAAGGTAGCGAATGTGAAACCCTAACCCTAACCCTGACGAACTGCGAACTGGTAAAATGTGAACTTTTTTTGCAGACCATTTTCCAATCTTTATAATATCAACAAAACAAAAAATTATAAAAATTTCTGAAGATATAAAAATTACTAAACGAATAATTAATCACGCTTCTATCCTTCATTTTAAAAGTCTTCTATCTTCCACAGACTGGGAACCAGTTCTGAAAACCAAAAATACTGATATAGCTTATAACAGCTTCAATCAGATATTTCAAAACCACTATAACAAAACATTTCCAAAAATTATAAAATTTATTAAAGAAAAAACATTTCAAAACCCTTGGATAACACCGCGTATCCTAAAGTCATCCAAAAAAAAACAACGCCTCTATGAAAAATTTATTAAAAAAATAACTTTTGAAGATGAGTCAAATTACAAAAATTACAAACGACTTTTTGAATCTATTGTAAAGTATTTATTATACTAATCAATTAATAAAATTTAAAAACAATTCTCAAAAAACATGGTGCATAATTAGGGACGTCATAGGTAAAAAAAAATTCAAATTGTAATAGTCTACCAAAAAAACTCATTATAAATGACTGCAAAATTATTAATGAATCTTTAATTGCTCAGTCGCTTAACCATGCATTTGTTAACTCAGGCGTAAATTTAAACGTAACTTAGGCGTAAATCAAAAATTAAAGTTAGTAAATGTGATTTTAAATCATATCTAATCGCTAATAATACCCTAATAGAAAATAAAAAATTAACTGAAAAATAATTTTCTAATGCTGTCTCTTTTTTAAAACCTAACAAAGGTCTTGGTCTTGACGATGTTTGCAGTAATGTAATAACAAAATCAATTTTTTATTTAAAATCTCCGTTCGTGCATATTTTTAACATGTCTCTGGAACAGGGAATCTTTCCTGATAAACTTAAACTTGTAAAGGTGGTCCTTGCCTTCATATCCGGAGATGTTACAAGCGTATCCAATTAGAGACCGATTTCAATGTTATCATGTTTTTCTAAACTATTAGAACACATTAAGGCGAGTTTCCATCCGTTTTTTTACGGGAACGGAAAAGGGACGGGAAAAATAATCACGTGGACATGCGT